CTGCTATATCAGCATTCCTGAATACCTTCCCCTTTCCTCCCGCTCTATTTTAGCTACAGGAGCTCTTAACTCAGATTGCATGACAGCTCTTCTTATAAAGATACCCGTCGCTATGAGGAGGGCAGGAGGGCGGGTGGGCAGGGTGGAGATCAGGGAATCATGACACAGCAGTTGCTGTTTCAATTAGCCGGCTGAACCTGGAGCAGATTTCAGGCGTCGAGCGGACACCCAGTGAGAGAGATTTGATCTACAGCCACGGGAAGCCGAACATTAACACATGTTTCAGCGCCACACATCCTGATTATTCAACGTAAAAACTGTGTTGGATTCGAGTGACATTTTATGGGATGCGATTGCATCATACGATTTGCTGTGGAATTCACAGCAAGTGAGGACTGTTACCCTAGGAGGATTCATTCACAGAAAAAAAACATCCAAGACCTCTTAATAAGGACTTAACACGGCCTGACACGTTTACACTGACCTTCCTCACTCCACCACCTTCATCTTCTAATCACGTTCAAGGCTGCTCCTAGCTTGGCCCCTTATTAAACTTCAGTAGTTGGATCTAATACCTTTTCTCCATGGTTTGTGGTACTGCAGCTCTCCCAGGATTAGAAAAGGCTATAGTTTACCCAGCTTCGTTATAAGCAACCATCTCACTCTCGGCTTCTTTTGGCCCATAACCCAAATATGTCCAAACCTTACATTTATAGAGAAACGATAATGAGGTCTGAGCTGCAGATGACCAACTTTATTCTGCTTCTATTGTTTTGTTTTTCAGCAGAAAGAGGTTTTTTCTCTGTAGCATAAGATGAGACATGTGGGGTTTCAGTGAAACATAATCTGAATTTCCTTCTAAATAAAATACAAATTTGGAGAATTTTCCCTAAATATGATTCTTGCAAAAGTATTAAGTACAACCACTAATTTTTATATATATTATTGAGATTCTTTGTGATGTACAAACATAAAGCAGCACTTAATTGTGACTTGAAAGAAATAACTGTAGTTTCTATAATGACTTTAACAGTAAAATCTGGAACATGAGGTGTGCATATATATTCAGCCTCCTTTACTCTTTTTACCACTGAATAAAAGCCGCTACATTCATAAATCTCTTAATTTGTAAGTGCTATGTGTGATGTAATCCCAGTATAAACACAGCTGGTCTGTGAAAGCCTGAGAAGTTTGTTGGAGAACATTAATGAACAGACTCAAACATCAGTAAAGGAGTTCAAGCTGGGTTAGGTTATAAAATAATACCAAAGCTTTGAATATCTTTTACCAAGAAATGGCTGTCCATTTGAAAAAGCCAAGCTGCACAGGGAGAGCATAAATCAGACAAAACAGCTAAAAGGTTCTTGGTAACTTGGCCATTAATCATGAACGCCACATATCTGGCCTTTATGGAAGAGCAGTAAGATATTTTTAATTGTTGGAAAACGATTCCTTATTGCAGTTTGCCAGAAATCATGTATTGGACACAGTAAACGTGTGAAAGGTGTTCTAGTCTGGAAACTGTAAAATGTCATTTTTCCAAAGCATCAACAACCCTGAGCAGATCATGTCCACTGTGAAAAATGTTGGTGGCACCATTATGCCATGGGATGTTTCCATTTTCATGGAAAAAATTATCTGTACATTTCTGACCACATTTCAGTTTTTTCTAGTTGAAAATGAGGATTTCAGCTCTAAATCTCTTCTTTTAAGCATTTCCTTTCTCAATAACTAGCGTGTTTATGTGCAGATAATCAGTAGAGGCTTCAAAATGTTTTGTTTACACAGTTTGTTATTTCTGTTGGATATATGTCATGATAGCCCACAATTTGACTAGTGCCTCCATATCATATCTCCCTTATCATGTTCAGAGATACCTTCTAAGCGCTTATTTTATCTCATATTTGTTATTCTTACCTCTAAAGGTAACTTAAAATCATCAGGATAGTAAAAGCTGAATGGAGAAGACTGTTTATTTTAAAGAATTGGAGCAGTGGAAATGGTTTATTAATGGCTATTATCCATCTCCATCGTGGGTCATTGATCACAGGAGGTCCAGTAATGACACTGTATCGTCTCCTAGCTTCAGGCTGCTGTATTATGTTTTCCTAATATCCATTTTTAGACTGTTTCTGATAATTTGCATGTCTTTGTTTCATGTGTCGTCTTCAGATCTCGGCCTGGATCAGTTCATTGTGAAACGCTATGATGGGAAGGTAAGAAGTATCAGTTTTATTTATGAATATATATATACGTATATATATATAATTCAATCATTACTGCTCTATTTCAATGTACGTTTTAGCTATTTAAGTTATTTGTGTCGTTAAGTACTCTTTCTGATAAAGGGCCAAGCACCTTGCTAAGTATTTAGACCCCTTGAACTTTTTCCCATTGGTTTTTTGTCATGTTACATATGTGGTGGATGGAAAATGATGAGTTTATTTAAAAAGTTTGAAAATTGTGTTGCTCTGAGTATTGTAAGATTTAAGTAAGAATACATAAGTTTGTTTATTTACAAAAACAATGTGAAAAAGTTCAAGGGGTTCTGTAGCTGTCTCAACTTGCCAACAGACTGACTGAATCTCAGGCCTCAAGCAATCTTTTTTTTTTTTCTATTTACCATCTTTAAGGAAAAAATCATGACTGAGTCACCATTTCCATAATTAGAACCATTACAGCTTTCTTTGATTTTGAGTTGTGACCTTTTTATTCTTTTTTTTTTTATGCCATCATAGATATAAATGAGTTTTCCTCCAAGCCAGGAGCTGCCCATCCTTATTCGTTTCATAATAGAGAATCATAAGTGTGAAGATTGTAGTTGCCAATCTCATTATGAAATTTATCAGCCTTCGGGTTGGAATAAATCTGCTCCTAATCTCCATAATGATGAACCCCACTAAGCCCCAAAGAGTCAGTGTCTTTGACAAGACCCATGCTTGCTTGTTTTCTTCTGTATTTGATGAAACTTCAAATTACCCTTATTTAAAATGTATATCTAAAGAGCTTGTGGCGTTCACTAGTCAAAAACGCAAGATGTTGATTCCAAAAATCAAAATTAGACACTTTTTATTTACAGCCCTTATGTAAATGCTGCCCTTATCTCAAGGCCACATGTCTCTTTTATTTGCCATGCAAATCTCCAGACACATGACTTTTACTCTGGTACCATATTTAGCTTCGGTTGACCCAGGAGAATTCGTTGCCATGACCAGAGGGACCCTGAGTGTTTCTTTCCCTCTGTGACCGGCTGCACCCACTCTGGCTGCTCAGAGTGATATGTGATTCCTCTGCAGCTTTATGAGCTCTTCTAACTAGTTGGAGGAAGAATAAAGCAGTATGATCATCTGCCAAAAAAAGCAATAAAATAAAAATGCCAAGATGTTAGACTCTGAATAGCCAATGGTGGAACATCAGTAGTGAGTAAATGAGTTTTGAGGATAAAGGTGGAAAAGAGAGGGCTGTAGCTTGGGGTGGAGTGGTAAACAGACGCTAAAGTTGATGTCATGGAGGTCATGTGAGTAAAACAAGAGCTTTCTTTCTGTGTAGCTTCTTTGTCCTTTTGGTGATTGCATTTAAAAATGCTTTGACCAAAAAAAAATCAATCTCATGTTCATTTAAAGGCTTAAATGTTAAAATATAGTAATTTAAAATGCAATCTAGTGAATATTGCTTTCATTCTGAAATACTTTGTCACGATTCATCTATGCAAGCTTTAAAGGTGACTCTCAGTATTTCTATTTAATTCCAGTAATTAACTTTAAAAAAGTAAACCTCATAGGTCCATCACATATTGTGTTTTATTTTGCCTGTTTATTTCTGTTGCAGCTACTGAAACCCACATTTTCGTTTCTCTGAAAATTTGAATATTACATTAAAAGTTTAATGCAGAAATGCCAGCCTTCTGAAAACGATGTCCATCTACTGTATGAATATGTAGAACGTAACTTAAACAACACTTCTCTGTTTGGTCTCATGGAAAATTTTTATTTTATTTTGGGGCTTTTCATATTATCATCAAAAATAAGTCACTTGTTGCATAATGAATCTCTGCAATTTAAATTTGTCAATTCAGTTGTCAGAGATTGATTTTATTGTTCATGATGAAAGTTATTTAGATGCACCTGCCCCTCTCTGACCTTTTTATGGTTGAATTTGAAAATGTTTTAGCCAACTATTCTCCATTTTATGGAACATTTAAAGAGGTAAATATATTCTATCTGTAAGTGCAGAGTGTAAATAATGTTTACCTACTGATCATTTCGTTTTATGATCAGTCTGAATAAAAAAACTGGCATCATAAGCTGGATATTTTGTCCCTATTTGTGTTTTTTTTTCCTGTTTATAAATGGATTTTTATGTCATCATAAATTGTTGTGCTGCTCTCAGCTGTTAATGGGATTTTTCTCTACCACCATCATGGTGCGTACAAGCTTTCAGCTGCCAGAAACGTTAATGTGACCACGTGTTGCTTTTATTCACTGTTGATTACTCTCCCATGCTCTAATCAGCTGCTCCCTCTCATCCCCCCCAAAATGATTCCTCCTCTCCATATTTTCCTCTCCTCCCTCCCTTATAAAAACCGTTATCCTCGGTTCCACATCTCTCAACCACCCCACACATTTTTCTCTGCTCCAAATCATACTGCCTACTGATTACCCCAATCTCCACCCACGAACTCCCCTCCCCGGTTCTCCACCTCTTCTAATTCTCCTCTGTCTCCCTCCCTCCGTCCTCGTCTCTGTGTCGCTCTGTCCCTCCCTCTCTGCAGGACTTCTGGCAGGTATGGGGTGTGTGCCGGGCAGCATGTGTTGCACCTGAATGATTAACTGCACTTTGTAGTCACCACTTCTCCACTCTTACTCCTGTGTACTTTTCCTCCTCGTAGCCTGAACTTCCTCTTCTTTTTAATTACTCACACCTTTGATACGACGAAGAGTGTAGCGTCTCACTTTTATTAGTTCAGGGGAACAGCTGAAGAAGTGCTTTTTTTTCTCTTCTTTTTAGCAAATCTCAGCTTCAGCAAGTGTAAGACTGCGGCAGATTTGGCAGATTATGGCTTCACTTTAGTTTATAGTTGCTTTGGACAGGACTGCAGCCAGACAGTGCATTTAATTTTTTTACAACCAGAAAAGACTGGGTTGCAACTTAAAATGTGTATATAAGGATAATCTAGATTGTTCTAAGAGAAACGGTTAAAGATGCTCCTCTTTGTATGCTCCAACCTTGTGAAATGTCATAGAAGACAAACTGCTACCGATAAGATTGGCTCTGGGGATTTTTATAAGAAACTATTATTTTTTTATGTGGTATATTTTTTATCCACTGATTTAGTGGTGCAAATATTGGATTTCTATACAAGTTCAGTGTAAGATGCTGCAATAAAATATTTTATTTTAAAGGGTAAAAGGAATTAATGGAGGAAAAGCCTAAAAAATTCCTCTCAAAGGTCTTGTTCTTAAGCATTACTTTTAAGGACTCTGTAGCTGCTCACATCATATAGAAATACACAGCTCAGTATCCCTTCGTAATTTTCCAATATAGTGCCAAAAAAGTACTTACATAATTGTTTTGCTTCTACAAATCAACTATAATCAACAAAACTTTGCTTTATTGACAGAAAAAAACAAAACAAAAACACCTTTAATGTCAAAGTGAAAACTGATTTCTACAAAATGATGATAAAAAATATAACACTAAATATTCACCCTCTTTAAAGTGGCTGACCTAAATCAACAGAGATCCAGTCAATTGGTGCTAGACTCTCTCAATGAGTTGATTAGTATTCCTGGCAACTGGATCCACAAGAACAATCCAGCAAATTGAAGAAAAGGTTATTGAAAAGTATCAGTCAGGGGGTGGATATAAAAATCTGTAAGGCACTGAATATCGCTGGAGTTAAGTTAAATCCACCGTCAAGAAATGGAAGGATGTCTAACTGTAACTAGATCAGGCCATCCTTACATCCCGAGTGAATGTGCATCAAGGAGGTTAGTGAGAGCAGACACCAGGTTACCATGACTACATGACTACGCAGCAGATGACAACTGTTGGCTGGGTTTTTACCAGTCAAAGCTTTATGGGAGAGAAGCAGTGAGAAATCTCATATCAAGGCACAAGTGGAAGAAAGTTCTTTGGTGTGATGAGACCAAAATGTAGCTTTTTGGCCATAAAACAAGATACTGTGTGTGGCACTCATCACCACAAACACGCCATCCTCTCTGTGAAACATGGTGGTGGCCACATCATGCTGTGGGGATCCTTCCTGGCAGCAGCCCTGGAAGGCTTGTAAAGGTAGAAGATTAAACATGAAGTCTTGGAGGACATTTTGTTTCAATCTGCAGGAGAACTACACCTTCAGAAAACATTTATTATGATTGATTTGTAAAAGGTTAAAACATCCAACTACTACTACTTTATTTATAAAGCACTTTAAAACAACAGCAGCGACAAAGTGCTGTACAGATTAAAATCAATACACTCAAAATATGGAGCAGATAAAACACAATAAGAACAAGAAAACACTAAAGGAAGTAAGGTCAAAAGTCTCAACGTGTGTTAAAAGTGTGTTTTAAAATTGGTCACTTCAAATATGTAACAGAAAATCGTTCCACAACGTTATGGAACGCTGTAAAAGTAACACTTTTACTGTTGCTGCTCCCAGGGGTGTGAATACTTTCTATAACCACCACATGATCAATGAGGAGAGCTTTGGCCTACTCCTTTATCTGCAGAATGATTAGACCTGTTTCCTGGTCTGGATACCTCCGTCAGTCTGGGTAATGAGAAGATAAGGCGAGCGCAGCAAAGGCCAGGTTGCAACCTGTTCACCATGAGAAGAATAGGCGGTGCCATGCAGTGAAGTGGCTGTACTCCCCACCTGTGTGTGTGCCTGCATGAGGCTTTGCATTGTTCTTTGACTTTGTGCTAGCGACCTTCCAGGTGCCCTTTTGTTTAGCTTGTTCCAGGCAGCTGCGTGGCATACCTGCCCTGCTGAATTATTAAAAGTGAGGACTATACTTTGCCTCTGCAGGGATTATTAAACGCTGCAGCACTGCTACATAATTTTCATGACAGCAGTCACTCCCCTAAAGTGTGTTTCGTTTAGGTGTATAGTTGAACTTTATGAAGAAAGTCGATCCTTGCGAGCTGAGACGCAAAGAGCAGCTAAAAATGACAAATTCATAAAGTCGATGGCAGATCATAGCTGTGCTGTTCCCCTGCAACTCCCTCTGTCTTGCTTTGGAAACGCACCTTTTCTCCTCATCCTGTCATTTCCTCTAAGAAGTATCAGCTCTAGTTTCCACATGCTTTGGTGCTCCAGCTGCTCTCTCCAGCATGCACTGCTCTTTTTGCCTGTGCCTCAGAGGAAAGTAGCCGGTGGTGGCGCCTCCTTCCTGCGCATGGTGGCATCGCGGCGTGGGTTTGGATCTAGGAAACTGCTTTGTTAGCAAATGTCAAGGCTGTTTTGATGTGCTTGCGAGCCTTCACAAATCCATCCTCTGGATTGTTGAGATGTCATTCCTGCATGATTTTTTTTTCTTTCTTTTTTTTTTTTTTCTTCGTAGAGCATGGTTCAGAGCTCCTGAAACCAGGACTTGATCTGTTCATCTAATTTTTTTTCCCAGTGTTCATGCTGTGGTCTTCTGTATTTCTCTTTGTGGAGCTAAACTGTTTTCAGTGTGACCTACTAAGATGGAGAATCCACTGCTGTCAGTCCGATGGAGTTTGGACGAGAAACGAGCCTCTTTTTACATCAACTCATGTCATGTTGACCTTTTCTGATTTCACAGGAAGCTTCCAGGAAACCATTTTGATCATGACAGCTGTGTTTTTATTTTAAAATATGTGTACACGGGTCTGGAAAACACATGTTCCCCTTTCAGATGTGTTATGTTTTTGATCATCAAACATATTTAAAGTTAGACAAGGATAACTTTAGTAAATACAAAATGACGTTTTCAGAAAATTCCCTGATCACCTCTGCAAGAACTGATTACTGCCTGACCTGCACAATTAAGAAACTCACTCAACAGGACCTGTCTGACAACATCCAATAGGCTAAAATATTTCAGAAAGCAACGTGTCGTGTTCCAAACTCAGATTAGAATCAAAATTTCTTATGTTTATCAGTTAAGTAATGGTTAAAAATTCATTTTGGAGGATTTGTGACTCCTGTAGACCTTAAATGAAGAAAACTCTGAGTACATCAACTCATCTAGAAGAGCACAATAGAACCCCAAAGAATATCTTAACATGCTAGCAGAATGCATTTACCTAATTTGAAGTTAGTGTTCATGACTCAACAATAAGAAAGAAGCTTGGCTAATTGATTTGAGCGTGTCCCATCATATCTGGGGTAAATTTGAATTTTGAAAAGTCAAGAATAATGGTCGTAGTGTGACGGTCTGATGGCTCAGATGGGAACTTGAAAACCCTCCATAATTGTTTGAAAAATGAGTCAAAATTTATCCATAGTGATGTAAAAAAAAAAAGTTATTCCAATTACTGCAAACACTTGATTACTGTTATTGCTCCTAAGACTGTAATTGACTTAACTTTTTCACATACAGTCATTATGTTTTGAATAGCTCTGTTACATTAATAAATGAAATTATCTTTTGAACACTATGGTTTGTATTTGCTCGGGTTATTTGAAGTTAAAATGTGTTTGATGATATGAAACGAATGCAAAAAAAGACAAAATCTGCAAGGCTGAAGAACTTTTCATGGCAGTGTTTGGTTTAATGTTCTGTCTTTCTCTAACCTTTCCGTCTGTTTTTCTCTCCGTCAAAGCTAGTTCTTTCTTTCTGCATCTCCTCTTTAAACTCATTAGAAGTTGGGTTTTCTCTAAAGCCTCTCGGCTCATTTTGTTTACTCTTCTTTGGGATAAGACGCTTCACTTTCTTAAGCAAATAAAATTTGCTGATAAGTGTTCCACATAAGGAGTCATTTTTCAAAATGTGCTCCCTGAGTAATCAAGAGTTATTAGCATAGCACCTGCTATCCATTTACCCCAGGGATTAGAGGTGGAGAGCGAATGCATTAATTTATCCTACACACACACACACACCAATCTGTTCACCTGCAAACGGTGGTCTCTTTTGATCCCAATTTATTACCATGCACCAGTATGCATCAGTAAATGTTGACTTTTGATCTCTAAGGTGGTGAAAGATGCTTCATGGTTTTCCTTTAGTGTTTTTCAGCACAGCGCTTTCTAGCTTTCCTCTTACACAGTCAGAGCTTTGAGCCACAGTCCAGAAATATCCAAGTCAGACAACAGTTACCTTTAGCCCCAAGCAAGTCATTCTGAATTGTGTTTCCCCTGAAACCTGTGTATTGTATTGTACCGGATAAAGTGACAGAAACCCTTAAGCTAACACATCACACAGTGTGGCACAGGGGACATACAGGTGCTGATTCTGATTTATAGCATTTTTATTCACTACATCCTTCAGTCATTTTGTTCTCATGCTGTATATGTTGATCCAGTTGGACTCATTTCTCCTTACACTTAAGTTTGTCAGGTTATTTCAACTTGCGTCTAAAGCTACTGAGAACCTGAATATTAATGTTTCAAATTAAGCAAAGCTTAGCCTGTCCTTTCTTCCTTCCTCCCTTCAGTTTCCTGTCTGCTCTTCTACCGAGCTGCTGCAGTGTTGGCCACAGATCCCATCTGTGACAAAGCACTGCATTCTCTACACACATTGAAGGCCAAGTTTAAGCAGCCATCGGCACCCTAGCCAGATGCCCTGGTGTGCATTAAAGGTGAAGTCTGACAGCCTCATTTTCTATCAATCAATCAATCAAATTTTATTTGTATAGCACATTTCAGCAGCAAGGTATTTCAAAGTGCTTTACATAATTAAAATAAAAACAGCATGTGACATCGAATAAACAGTGAGAAAGAGAAAGAGATTTTGGAAAAAAAAGATTAATAAAGATAAAACCATTAAAACCCGCGCCCCTTTTAGGACTTCAGTTAAACGTCGTTTAACTGGGACTCTAACCTAGTATGACATCAATGTGGCGATTGTCATAAGTCCTAAGACATTCATCCAGTCTCACATGAGCCTCGTTTGTTTCTTTCCTATTCCTCTTGAATCTTGGCCGGATGGGGCCTAATGTGCTGATATTCAGTGGAAAGATTAGACCCGGCCAAACCTTTCACCCTCTCTGTGTGTCTGTATGACAGCAGTACATTTCACTGTCCAACCTCCAGCAGAGCTCAGAGTTCAGCCAGCAGCTCTGTCAGCACTATGTTTCTGCCTCATCTCACATGCTGGTGGGCCAGCTCAGTTATTCATCTGTGTGCAGCTGGTGGACTTGGCTATAACTTAGCTGGCATGTGAAGAGATGTATGAGGCGCATCACCATCCCGGAGGATTTATTCAGACAGCAAACAATCAAAAATGACACTGACACACCGAGTTTCTACATTAATTTATCAGCTTTCAGTCATTTTAGTATCAGTGGCTTTAAAAGAAAATGTAGACTCGGGGTTAGTTTTTGGCAAAACGGTAATAATTATAGTATCATATTGAATTTTGGTGTTCTAGAGCCTCGTTTTTTCACAGCAACAATGCTTTGAATTTAACGGTTGCTTTCCAAAATTTCCCTTGCTAACTCTCTCCAGTTTGCTGAATATGACGACGATCAACCAAAAGGCTTTTGGACTATGTGTTGCAGATGGATCAGACCAAATAGAAATAACTGATGCATGTGAGCCAGGCCAGTCCAGTTTCATAGCAGCAAATTCTGAATAAAAATACCAATCCAGTAGATGAAGTGAACTTTAAAGAGGTTCATTCAGCAGTTAGAGGTGAATTCTCACTATTATTTTTACTCCAGTTCCACTATGAAAGGCTGGAAAGCATCTTTACATTTACTGCTGCATAATGGCGCTTTCATATAGCTTGCCGATGATAAATATGATTCATAGTTTGATGTGTGTTCACAGCTCTCTGTGTAAGAGAGAGAATAGACTGACTCCAGATTGAGATCTTAAAAGGAAGATCTGTGGAGAGTTTACTAGTTTGTTTGGCCCTGAACTGGTCCAAGATTTCTTATTTTACCAGATAAATATGCCATTTGCTCCCTCTCTTTGATCTTTATAGCATTTGCTTTTTGTCAAGGTGAGTCAGGCTGTTCTGTGGGGCTGTTTTTGTCCTTGACTCAGGCCAGGGGGAAAGTAAGCCATTATATTTAATGTGCTCTGTGCCTCAGTTCTGATAATGGCAATAATAACGAGGCCCAGTGTGTCTCTGGGTATTTGTGGCTGTATGTAGGATACCTTTCTACCGGAGCAATGCTTGTTTGTTTGCCCTTTTGATTTTTTGGTCTGGCATTAACACACAAACCGAGACGGCTTCCTTTCAGTTCCTTTATTACGCCTCCAACCTTTCTCTGCTCTTCCTGGTTTTACTCCTTTCTGAATTGTTCTCTGTGTCTGTGACCTTTAGGACATCTGATATATTTCTCTTTCATTCTCCATCAGATGCAAGCATCAGATGCATTCTTTCTCTTACCTCCTGTTTGCCCCCACACTCCCTCCTCCTCTTCCTCCAATATGGCTAATGTAGATGACATTAATAATACATGTCACAGTAAAATCTGCTCTTTTATGTCTCTGCATTGCTGACTTGCCAAAGTCAGACTGGACTTAAAGTCAGGGTGTAATTTTGTTAACTGTAATTTGATTGTCTTTAGCAGCCACTGTGCTTTCTGTATGTTACGAGGAGGGAGTTGGTTCTTGGCGACAGACTGTGAATGAATTATTATGCGGTGAATGGGGCACCACTCAATTTTAAGCATTTATTTATGTTTTTTCTAAAGGGCTGGACATGGGGATGTGGGGTTTGCATTATCCAGGATTTAATCAGCATTCAGCTTGGGAAATAATACTGATTAGTGCTTCATCACTTTGATTTACTTCAGATGAAACAGACATGCAGTGCTGAGCTATTTATTTCCAAATTACTGATCATATATTATTATATTTAATGGGCTTTTATATGGTAGACAGACACAGTGGTGCATCACTGTGAAGCGGAGGGAAGGATCCATGATTTTTCACTGTTCACAAAAAAATATATTAAATAGTATGGAAAACACCTGTTAACATCAATTGAGTCATGTCAGTAAAATCTCAGTTATATTAAGGTCTGGCCTTTAGATAGGCCCTTCCAATGCTTGGAACCTTCTCCACACCTGCCTCCCAAATCCATGTGATGTGTTCCTTGGTCCTAATAATGATGCTGTTTGTTCTCTAACAAAACACTGAGCACTTTAATTATAGTAAGGCTAAATTACACACAAGCTAATTCTAACTACTAATTAGGGGACTTCTGATGGCTGTTGTTTGCAATTGATCTTATTTAAGGGCATGTATCTGTTAAGGTGGCTAAATGGAAACAAATGAAGCACTTTTTGCAAAATATAAAAAAATATATTATTTTCCTTCTGCTTCACAATTGCATTACATATTTGCATAAAATCCAAATAAAATACATTGAAATTTTTTTGCTATATCTATGGATGCACTGATGCAAAAATTTGGGTCCATGTTGACATTCGAGATTAAAACTGCTGCAATAGCCGACAACTGATTTTTAACCCTTTTGACACTTTGAAAGAAGACTACCACACCGCTGATGGGGTGCTGCTTCTTTGCATCAGTTAAATTCCCCCACAATCCTTTGCTGCATCACTATGACATGACCAACTTCCCCTTTCCCCTCTAAGAACAAATGGAAAAAAGATGGAAATAAATATGTTTATTTCCAGTTTTATTTATCAGATACAATATATATATATATATATAAAAAAAAACTAATGTCCACTGACAGCTGTAACATTACTAAATATGAAGAAATTCGTCACAAACCCGCTTATTCTAAAAAAAGCGGGTTTAGGATTTTTCTGATTCTCCCATCATACTTCAGCTCCATCAGGATAGGACATATTTAAACGCCTAATTTTGAGTGGCCTCCACCAGCGCTCTTGTATTGTTACGATGATGTCTGATAGTTTTCTGTGTGACTCTGTGAATGCCACATGCGTGTTTTTTGTCATCCAAGGCCCTGCTGAACACAGCAGAGGCCACAATGTTCTCTAACAGTTGTTTGTCCTCCCTCCTCCTCCTCTGAAATGGACCCGTTTGCAGACGGAGGTAACTCCACGAGGGCTCAGCGTGGCCCCACATCCTTCTACCCACCGCACTCTGCCGTCACTCCTCCACTAGGCATGCTCTGTCCTTCTGTGTGGTGGAGCGTCCCACTTCTGTCTTTCAAGTCTTTCTCTGAGTGTGTGCATGTAAATAAAGGACTTTCATGTAACGCTGTTAATACACACACACACATGCTGACTGGAAAACATCAGGTCAGCTGAGCATCTCTGTGTGTAGGGAGTTAAATTAACATGTTTTCTGTTTGAGTTGGGTTTCAGAGATGGTTAATTAAAACTGTGTTTGTGCTACAGTCTTTCATGATGTTTCCCCCTGTTTTTAATGTCACCTTCACACTGTGAGTAAAGCCTCTGGTGGATAATGTGTCTCCAACCTGACCTGACCAGTCACTAATTGTTTTTCGATGTCACCCTCACCCATCTGAATGGCTTCACGTGTATGCAGCAGTTGCATGACTCCTGTCATAACCCGTCTGGATATAATTAACCCGTATGTGCATTGTGACTTTTTTTTTTCTCGATATGTACGTGGGGAAAAAATAACAATGCTTATGTGTCCATTGCGTACTGTACATGCTCTCTGTTTCAACTCTGAAACACACCGTCGCTGCAGAATCTGTAAAGTTTGTGCTGTTTGTAACTTTTTTCCCCCTTTTTTTTCTGTCCTGACCTGGATGAGCAGAAAATTGCCCAGGAGAGAGAGAAGTTTGCAGATGAGGACAGCATATTTTATGCATTAGGAGAATGTGGCCTTATCTCCTTCTCTGACTACATTTTCCTCACTACAGTGCTGTCCAGTAAGTATAATCTGTTCACATTGCCTGTGGGTGACAAGTTCGCAGAAGAAAAGTATTGATTCCTCGCGGTCTTTTATACATTTTGCTAAGTTCCAACCACATATTTTCATGTACTTTATTAGAATTTGTGCATAAATTAGGTAATAAATAATTCTGTAAGAGGAAAACAAGGTTCAAATTTAAGTATCTGAAAAGTGTGACACACTTTTTCAGTCCTTTTTACTATGATATCCCTACAAACATTGCATCTACCTGCCTCAAGCGATGTGACACAGCAAATGTGACAAAGAACATTTTGTGGTCAGATGAGATGAAAATTGAGTTTTTCAGTTTGTTCGTTGTTTGTATGTGGGAGAAAAAAAAATAACCGAACACTTCACATTGAAGCCACTTTCCCTATGTGGATGATTAGTGGTGGCAGCATTGTGCTGTGGGAATACTTTCCTTCAGGAGAAACAAGGAAGCTGTTCAGACATGATGAGAAGCTGGATGGAGCCAGATACAGGACGATGCTGGAAGAAAACCTGGCACTTCAGATTCACCTCATCTAGAATGTTAAAAATAAAAAAATGGCCTAGTCAAAGTCCAGCCTAAATCCAGTTGAGAATCTTTGGTGATTCTTGATAAATGCATTCTCTCCAAGCAAGCTGAAATTAGCTTGTTTTCATTCTAAACTTTTCAAATTTTAAGTTATTGCATGCAGGGGAATTGATTGCACTGTAGATTATTTAGGGGTCTGAAAACAAAAAGCATGCCACACTTCAAGATTCCTATTTACAGGAAAAAGAGTGTAAATCACCTCCTACTTCACAATCATACCCTAATAAAATGTTGCTCAGTCATAAAATCCCATATACATACATTGGTGTTTCTTGTTGCAATGGAGCAAAATGTGAAAAGGTCAAAATGTGTCAATACTTTTGCAAGGCGCTGCATCTTTTCTGCTTCTATAATGCGGCAGAAGAGACTCATTATGAAAGCTGACCTTTTCCAGTAAGATGATGTTAGTTTGGTCAGTTCTGTTTGCGTTGCATAAGTTCTTCCTCTGTCAGGTTTCCTGTGCGCTCGGCTGGACAGTTTCTTTAAAATTAGCAGCTGAATCAAACAGAAACTGAAGTTGCACTGTAATGTTTCTGCTCAGAGTATTTCAACTAATAGTAATACAAATTTTACTTCCATCCCTCCTCTTTAAGGTTGTTAAATTTATTTACATTTGTAGTTTAGCTAGTTCATTTATTATAATCTGTTTGTATAAAGAATGTCTCAGGCTGAGTCATTTTTAAGGAGAAATGCGAGGAACCGGACAGGTTGCAATCCATTTTATATACAAATGTAGACCTGTGATGGATGCTTTTTGCAAAAATTTGTTCCATCTTAGTCATTCATATTAAATAAATCAAATCTATCCTTTAAATCTACAGACTTAAATTACATTCAGCCGTTTCATATCTGTAGGATTTCTGTGCAAAGCAGCAGTTGTCTGCTAAAGGTCAGATTATAAACCACCTTTTTGGGGTGGGGTGGTCTGCTTAGGGCTTAAATGCATCTAGAGTCCCACAGGATCCCTGTTAAGATGCTGAAATCGTTTACCTGGGTGTTCATCTGGGGCTTTTGCACCATAGTTCAAACCAATCAGCTTCCTGGTAGCTGCCAGTTTATTTTACATTTGGGAATTGGTGACCTGAGAGGCTGTGATGCTGCAGCAACATAAGTAATGTTAGGAAATGAAAACATTAAATGCTTAGAGGATTTGAAAGCAGTCACCTACTGGTTTAAGCATTAAGCCAGTACGTTTTCTTCAATATGTCGTATAGCACAATATATCTTTAAGGAGCAAACATTTTTCTCAGCGCTGTATGTTGCAGCAGCACCACTGCCGGCAGACGGAGAGGTTAATTGTGCCGTTTTTGTTTGGTGCTCAGAGGAATGTTTATTGTCTGTATGTTTGACCCGAAGCCCATCCCCAGTGGTGTGATCACACAACCTGCTCCATAGTTAATATGTCATTACTTTTTGCGGCTCCTCTCTTCATATTGTGCCGCGCTGATTTAAGAGCGTATCTCTTTTTGTGTCTTCGTGTTCTGCTGTGTCCAGCTCCCCAGAGGAACTTTGAGATTGCTTTCAAGATGTTTGACCTGAACGGCGATGGAGAAGTGGACCTGGAGGAGTTTGAACAGGTCAGACTGCTAACAGCAGGAGAAATGGGAAACGTTTGAATACTCAGCAAAAATGGTCAAATTTGAAATGTAAAACACTGACATGGAATAGAGTTGGGACCGATCTCCAGTAAAATTAAGTTTGAGAAACATAAATGAATAAATTAGAGGAATTATGTGCTATAAGTCAGCGTCTGTATCCAGATTTCTGCAAGATATTTTTACAGTGTTGTCTGCTTCTGTTTTTTTAAACAGTATAGATTCTTATCACTAAAGGATTTAAAACAAAAATCCACCAACTCCTACCCCCCCAACTGATTCCTCAGAACGTCTGCAGCCTTGTATCATGTGACAACTTTCGTGTTCAGGTCCAGAGCATCATTCGATCCCAGACCAGCATGGGCATGCGGCACCGCGACCGCTCCACCACAGGAAACACTCTGAAGACGGCCGGCTGCAGTTCTGCTCTCACCACTTATTTCTTTGGAGAGGACCTGAAGGGGAAGCTCACTATTGGCAGCTTCCTGGAGTTTCAGAGGAAACTGCAACACGATGTGCTCAAACTAGAGGTAACAAAAAAGGAAATTAAAGCCATAGCTTTGATGTATCAATAAAATTTGCTCCAGGTTTATCTTTTTTTATCAGTAACTGCACACCGGCTCCTTGTAGACGCTGACAGTGATGTATAACTGTGATATTTCTATTGAGCACAGAGTAAGATTTACTCACCAAATGTTTTTGTGCCTGTTGGGTATCTTACAGTTTCTCTGAAAAGTTTACACATTCAGCTGATCTAGTGCCATTTTTTAAACATTTGCTCATCTGCGTCCCAACAAGAACTAGAAATTAAAGTTTCAAACACCAATAAGTTTTGACTAAAACCTTTAATTGTCAGCTGTAGATATGAAGATGGATTTCAGTTTTCAGCACCTTATTAATCCCAAGCTGGAAACTCGATCAAGGGTCTGCAAAAAATATATATATACACATTTTTGCCTTCAGTCCAGCTAAGTAAAACCTGCTTAGAGCCACAAATGTTACCTGATATTTTGAATAAAGATAACTACTATTGAAAATTTAGATCATATAAAGAGCCAACCTTTTATTCTTATTTTTATGTTTTTTAAGAAAAATATAAAACTGTAGGTGAAAAGAGGAAAGTTACATTTTCTTTTATGACATGTTCATATTTTTTTGAAAAAAATGTGTAAAAAAATGTGCATAATTTCCAGAGGAAAATTCCAATAATCCCCCAAGGAATTTTATCGTCTGGTTCAGTTTTTACATATCTGGGTGATGAGGCTGAAACTGGTGCTTTTTTAAAATGGTTTCGTTTTCAAAAAAATGTGTGATCGTTCTGTCACTTTAAAATCTGTAATGTGTTTTTTCCAATCAAAAAAATGTCTAGAAATGATGTAAAATGTTTTAATATTCAAATTTTGAACCTGCACTGCATCAGAACCTTTGGGTTCAACAAAGTTTTAATGTTTAAGCAGCACCAAAAAAACAGTGCATTTCCCTGGCAGCACTATAGTTGTAGCAATAACAGGCAATCAGTGCTGGCCATGCATGCATGCTGTCAACATTTCGAGCGCCCAGACTGATGAACAAACAGCGAGTGAAATTACAAACCCGAGACTGACGTGTTTCCAATAGATTCAGACATAGTTTTCTCAACCCTGGTAGACTGGTTTTGTTTGGGGATTAAATTAATTGGCTGGCTTCAGTGTTCAAAAGCTTTCAGTCCATGTCAGGTTTTCTGTTGGTTGGTGGTTTCCCAAAACGTCAAAGTAATAATAAGAGACGCGGAAGAGGAAAACCAACGATGTGACATTTTTTGTACACTATACACTAGTGCTATATCACAAATAGTGCTGAAACGATCAGTGGGATTAATCGAGAAGAGTCAATTATTGAAATAATGATAGTTTTAGCTTCACCTGGTGCTATTTCTTTTCAGGCAACTGAATTATTATTATTTTTTTGCATTTTTAATGTATTTCTAATATTGTATAAGAAAAGCTTAAGAGGAT